GTGTGTGTGTGTGTGTGTGTGTGTGTGTGTGTGTGTGTGTGTGTGTGTGTAATTTTATCTCACTTAAAATTGGAACAGGAGGGGTGCCTGGGTGGCTCAGTCAGTTCAGCGTCTGCCTTAGGCCCAGGTCATGATCCCGGAGTCTTGGGATCAAGCCCCGAGTGGGCCTCCCTGCTCAGCGGGGTGTCTGCTTCTCCCTCTCCCTCTGCTCCTCCCCCTTCCCCCCCCCCCCCTCCTTCTCTCTTTCTTTCTCTCTCTCTCTCTCTCTCTCTCTCTCAAAGTCTTCAAAAAAAAATTGGAACAGGAAATTTTGCCATGTGTTTAAATGTGCCCAGAAAGCATGATTTGTAGTGATTGTAGTATTTATTCTATTATATGGCTACACTTAAATTATTTATCTGTTTCCTTATTGTTAGGTTATTTAGGCTTCATTTTAAAATAATGGCTACCATTTCACTGAATATCTTTGTACCTAAATCCATGTCTGTATTTCTGACTATTTAGGGTAGGGTTCTAGAAATAAATGCACTGGATCAAACTGTCTAAAGGTCTCCCAGTGTATTTTGCCACATTGCTTTTCTAAAAGGCTGCTATTTAAATTCATGCCTGCAGTGAGTGTGTGGGTTTGACTTTCATTGTACTCCTGGCTAAGTAGTTTTAGTGTTTACTGTGTACTAATTTTATAAATGGTATCTTGTAGTTATTGTAACAGTTATTTCCTTGACAACTAGTTTGAGCTGGTTTTTCCCTATATTTATTGACTCTTTGTTTCTATTACTGTGAATTGTCCTTGATCTTTATGATATTCCCCCTCTTATTTGGGCATTAGTATTTTTTTTGCCGATTTTAAGAAATATTTATGTAAATTGTAACCCTATCAGTCTTATTTCTGGCACATTTTCCTATTTCTTACTTGCCTTTTAATATTTTTATAGTAGTGAATTTTAAATTTAAGTATATTTGGAAAGCTCTTTCTCATCTTGAGATCAGATACATTCACCTGTATTTTGATTTAGTTTTTATTCTGTATTTTCCATTTCTCTTCATAACCCATGATTTTGGCAGAAGTGTGACTGGATTTGTGCTTCAGAAAGAAGTCTTGTGGCTCTGGAGTTGCGTTGGAGTAAGTAGAGACTAGGGCAGTGAACCCTGCTGAGACAAGAAAATAAGTGTCCAAATGTGGTGACAGTGATAGTGGGGATAGATGGTCTGGGAGGCACAGCGGTTCAGTGGCATTGTGGGCATCAGGACACATTTGACTGTGAGGGGCTATGGGACTTTGAGAGACAAGCAGTTGTAAGTAGAGGATTGAAACTCCAGGAGGCTGGTCGGACTGAGGATGGAAATTAGGGAGCCACAGGTGTTACTCCTAATGTGGGAGCGAAGATGAGTTTTCAGGGCAGCTGACTGCTGAGAAGGGTGGTCAGAATTAGAAGGCTCACCAAGAAGGGGAGCTAGGAGAGGTGGCTTTTAATTTTTTTCTTTATGCTTTTATCTCACTCACCCAGCAAAAATAACAATGTCAGATACTGCAAAGGGCTCGAGGAGGAGCGGGACTGAGAGTTTCCTTGGATTAGCTTCCGACTTTCCCTACATTTGGCTAAGAGGGGCAGTAGAGGGGGAGAGAGATCAGTAGAAGAGGGAGCATGGTCAAAGGATATCACTCCTTGTTAGACTCTAAGTAGACTTGAGCATGTTCTCTATTGAGGGGAAAGAATCTGTGAATAGGGAGATAGTGAAGGTAAGGTGGAAAAAGGAAGGATTTGATGGTACAGCAACTTAAACGGAGGAGTCGCCGTGATAAATGGATTCTTCTTTCAGGTGAACCAGTAGTTCATTCTCAGAGAATTTGCATAGAGGTTTTTGAAACATATTTTAATCTGTTCTATGAGTAAAAAAACTCCCTGCCTCAATAACAAATTTTTCTAGTTTTTAAAAAATTGACCATTTTATAATTGTTTCAGCATAAAACTGTCATATAAATTCACATCTTTTACATGCTGCTGATTGGCAAAGTTCGTGTGTTACTGTTAATGATAGAGGTACCTAAAAAGCCTAATATGCATTCAAATTCCTCTCTCTGTTGCTCAGTCATGAATGTATGCAATTAAACATTTTATATTCTAACCATTGTTTAAAATGTTTTTTGCAGGGAAATTTGCCTAAATATTCTCATAACTCCCTGATGGTTCAGGCAATAAAGACAAACCTAACAGACCCAGACATACATGTGCTTTTCTTTGATGTGGAAGCGTTGATTATTCAACTCCTGACTGAAGAAGCCTCTAGGCCGAATACTGCGCTTATTTCCCCAGAGAATTTGCAAAAAGCATCTGGCAGTTCAGACAAAGGGGGCTCTTTTCTAACTGGAAAACGAGCAGCAGTTCTCTTCCAACAAGTGAAAGAAACTATCAAAGAGAACATAAAGGAACATCTCCTGGACGATGAAGAGGAGGATGAGGAGATGATGAGGCAGAGAAGAGAAGAGAGTGATCCAGAGTATCGGGCCAGCAAATCTAAGCCGTTGACCTTATTAGAATATAATTTAACGATGGACACTGCAAAATTGTTCATGTCATGTCTTCATGCCTGGGGTTTAAATGAAGTTCTGGATGAAGTTTGTCTTGATCGCCTTGGAATGCTGAAACCGCACTGCACAGTATCTTTTGGTCTCCTATCGAGAGGAGGTCATATGTCCCTGATGCTTCCTGGTTATAATCAGCCTGCTCGGAAGCTGTCGCATGGGAAAGCCGAAGTAGGAAGGAAGCTGCCAGCAACCGAGAGCGTTGGAAGGGGAACTTATGGAGTGTCCCGAGCCGTCACCACACAGCATCTCCTGTCTATCATATCTTTGGCAAATACATTAATGAGTATGACCAACGCAACTTTTATTGGTGATCATATGAAGAAGGCTCCTACCAGGTGTGACCATGATAGTTTGATTTTATTCTCACATTTCAAAATAAATAAATAAAGCCTGTTTTATTTGTCTCACTGTTTATTACTTTGGCGGGGGGGCTCTGCCCACCTTAGCATTTTTGTGTCATCTCAGTGTTTCCCCTTGAAATTTTAAAACACAACATGCATGATTTAAAGTATGATAAAATTACACAGTTTAATCTTTACTCAAACATACTACGTAGCTATTTAAACTGAGTAGCTCAGATCAGCTTTAATAAGTGACTTATGGACTAGCTCATCAGTAAATATAATCTTAGAATTGTATTTACTTAAAGTTTGCATTGACATTTAATTCAAAGGGTATATTTGGTTGAAATGCTTCTTTATGATTTATATGTAATGAATGATAGGTGTTCAGTAATTAGCTTCAGAATTTTATGAGAAGTGTAGTAAGAATTTTTCAGTTGGAAGAGAGAAAACAACTTTTTTAATTGTAGGAGAGTATTATTTTAATATTTTAGGAATATCTAACCTGATTTGCTATTACCCATTTTCCAGAAGTCATGAAGATAACTTTTTATTTATTTATTTATTTATTTTTTAAGATTTTATTTATTTATTTGACAGAGAGAGACACAGCGAGAGAGGGAACACAAGCAGGGGGAGTGGGAGAGGGAGAAACAGGCTTCCTGCGGAGCAGGGAGCCCGACGCGGGGCTCGATCCCAGGACCCTGGGATCATGACCTGAGCCGAAGGCAGATGCTTAACGACTGAGCCACCCAGGCGCCCCAAGACAACTTTTTAAACTGTGGTTTTATTATACTTTATTGAGAATTGATCATATTGAGAAATTTTAAAAAATCAAATACTTAAGTAGTACTTACCTTGTATCTGGTTCTGTTGTAAGTACTCTGTAGATACTATTTCATTAAAGCCCTTAACCCTCCAAGGTAGGCACTGTTACTATCCTTTCACTACAGATAAGCAAACTGAGACACAGGTTAAGTAATGTGTCCAAGGTCACACAAGTGGTTAAGTGGTGTCACTAGAATTCACCATGAAACAGGCTGCCTCTGGAATCCAAGATTTCTAATGCCTTATTACCTTTTTCAGATTTTAAGGATGAATTCTTTTAGACTCACTGTATTGTATCATGAATTCATTTGGACCAATGATATAGGGAGGGCTGAAATCTCAGCATGCTAATATTGAAGAATGAAGGACTAATTACAGTATTTATTTGTCAGTGGTAGTACATTAAACTGTTCAGAAATATTTCTTAAATTAGTATAAAGCATAAATTGTAGATAAAAAATTTTTACTTGCTATTTGCTAATCATTCAATATATTAACATTTGAAAAGGAAAATGTTAATACATACAAAATAGTAAAAAAACATTTTTTGGAATGGTAAATTGAAAATGTTCTGTATATGTTTCTTTTACAATTCATTTGGGACTGGAAAGCTTAGTATTTTTTTTTTTTGTAAGCTTAGTATTTTAAATGGTTCTGGAAATATGAAAGTATGATGTATATATACATATATTTTCTTCTTTTTTTTTAAAGGCCACCTCGACCAAGCACCCCAGACCTTTCTAAGGCAAGGGGTTCCCCTCCAACTTCCAGTAATGTTGTGCAAGGACAGATTAAACAAGGTAAAATTAAATCTTATTAAGTAATTGACCTGACATTTCAGCTGTAGAAACTGAGGAGGCATAGCTAATGTATAATCATAATTTGTCTCAGATTGTTAAAAGAGAGAAAAGTTGTTATATTCCAGATGTAAATATGGATAATTAAGATGTCAGTTAAAAATAAATCAGATTTATTTAGAAACTGATAAATGAGCATATTTCACATAATTTTATTGTACTGTCTTTGACCTAATTTTTGTGAATTAGGGGCACCTTAACTTGACAACACTAGTGTGTTAATTGTGTGTATCTTGAGTTTAAAAGTTATACCTATTTTTAACTACATTTAGAAATGTTTAAAATCATATTTTCATACTCTGTTCTGCTCTTTGCCAGTAGTTCATGCTTTGTAATCCACAAGTGGAAAAACTTTCTTTTTATTTACATCATCATTGTCTACAGCTTTGTTTTTCATTAGTGGATAGAAGAGAAAGTTGAGTTTCTCTTCCATTATTACCTTTTATGTTCATTATAAGAGTGGTAAATGCAACCAGAGTTGGGGGTGGGGGGGTCATTTCTGCTGAGAGAGCTTTCTTTCAGGCTGAGAGTTAATGCTGACTCACTCAGAATGTGATAGAAGTAAAGAAGTGAGCAAGACATGGGATGATGAAGGTTCTGCCTATAAATGGTGACTTCAGGGTCTTCTTTTTTCCATAGGTTTTTTGTTTTGTTTTTTGTTTAGGTTTTAAAGATTTTTTCTTTTTCTTTCCTTTTTATTTTTTAAACAACTTTTCCCTTCCCTAGGACAAGTACTTTTCTCTTTCTTAGCTTAGTATTTGATATTTACTTTAATATCTTTAAACAGGTGCCTGATTTTCAGTTTTAGGCACTGTCTGTTGTCTTCTCATTATGGACGATAAGCTCCCACATTCTCTACCCCCACTCCATCATTCATTCCAACCCCACATGCTCACCCCTTTTGTTACCCTTTCTCTGATTAAAATTAACATAAGCTATTATAAAATAATTGTATGTTATAGAAAAGTTTTGGATAACTTTTTATACTTCTGAACATGTGACACACATGTATAAAAAAGTACACAAAATAGAAATATGTAGCTCAGTAACTTTTACATGCTAAACTCCCTTGTAATTACATCTGTGGACAAGAAATCAAACGTTGCCATCATGCCAGAAGTTGCTGGTATGTTCCTTCCCGGTCATTATGTGCCCCCTTCCAAAGGTAACTACTGTCTTGACTTCTGGGAAATTACTTCCTTTCTTTCTTTTAGAGTTAGACCACGAAGTTTAAATCCCTAAACACTGTAGTTTAGTTTTGCTATGCTTTGAATTTTATATGAATTCTGTCAGTCACAGAGTATGTAGTCTTTTGTGTGTGGCTTCTTTTGTGAGATTTATCAATGATACTGCGTTTGAAGTTTACTCATTTTCATTGTTCATTTTTATTGCTCTGTAGTATTCTGTGGAATGAGTAGACCACAGTTTCTTCATGCATTTTCCTGTCAGTAGACATTTGAATTATTTTCGTTGTTTTTCATAAATCTACAAACGTTCTTGCATTTGGTTCTTAATGTACTTTATCAGTATTTCTGTTGTATATATAACTAAAAGTGGAATTTCTGCATATGTTTAGCTTTAGCTTTAGCAGATAATATTAGGATGTTTTCCTAAGTGAGTGACTACTGTACATCCATCAAAATGGCTAAAGTAAAAAGAAGGAAAATACTGTTGGCTAGGATATGGAGCAACAAGAAGTCTCATACACCATTGGTGAGCTATGCTAGCCAACCCTGAATATTTTCCATCTCTTTCACTTCAGCCATTTTGATGTATGTGTAGTAGTCTCTCATGTGTTTAATTTACATACCCTAATTCCCATCAAGGTTGAATACTTTTTTGGTATGTTTATTGCTCATTTCTATATGTTCTTTTGTGAAGTGCCTGTTCAACTCATGTGTGTCTATTAGGTTGTTTTCTAAAAAAAAAAAAATATCCGTTGTAAGGGTTGATCTGTGACTGTCCTCAATATGAGCCCTTTGTTATATGTACTGCAAATATTTATTTGCCTTTCACTCCTATCTTTGAAATTCAGCATCTTTCAATTTCAGTGGAATCTAATATATCAATTTTTTCACTTATTACTTAATATTTGTATGTCCTGTTTCAGAAGTTACCCTGATATCATGAGGATAGCCTTCTGTTTTAGAAGCTTTATTGTTTTACCCTTTTTATTTAGATCTATAATCTGTCTAGAATTCATTTTTGGATATCATGCGCAGCAGGGGTCCTGTTTCATTTTTTTCCTCCATACAATACCAGATTGGTCCAGCATGATTTAGTAAAGGGATGATTCATTCCCCACTGCTTTGCAGTGCTATCCTTGTCATAAATAAAATGTTCTTCTATATGATCTGTTTCTGGGGCAGTTTGAGCCCATTGATTTGCTTGTGTATTCTTGTGCCTTAATTACTGTAGCTTTGTAGTAGGACTTGGTATTCAGCAGATAGAGTCTTCCCACCTTATTCTTAAAGAATGTCATGGCTATTCTTGTTTCTTTGAATATCTCAATTGTCAGTTTAGAGCCAGTTTCTCAGTTGTTATAAAAACCTATTGTGATTTCAACTGCAATTTTATTGAATTTATAGATGAGTTTGGGGAGAATTAATATCTTTGTGGGTTTCATTCAGTATATTCAATGTATTCAGTAGATTCCTTTATTTATTTAGATCTCATTTGGCTATTGTAACTCTTTTATAGTTTTCTGTGTAGAGGTCTTATATACTTCTTATTTAGATTTTTTTCCTAGATAAGGATTTTTAAAATACTCTTGTAACTGGTATTGAATATTTTGTTTTCTGTGCCTCTGGCACAGAAATGCAGATTATTTTTGTATGTTGACCTTGTATCAAGCAGTCATGCTAAATTCACCCATTATTTGTAGTACTTTATTTGTGGATTACTTTGACTATATGGACAGTCATATGGGATACTTTTTCTATGCCCAGTGTTTTCCCAAAGGGAAAACTTTTAAGTTTTCATAATTATTATATTTCCTGTATGCTTTTTACAAGAAATTCACTTTCCATTATTCCTTTGCTAAGTGCTTATCATCATTGTATGTTGGGTTTTATCATGCTTTTTCTGTATCTATTGAGATGATTATATATTTTTTCCCTTTATTCTGTTGTGATTGATGTATTATCATCTTATATATTGTTGAATTTGGCAAAAAAGTTTTCTCTTCTTCCCCCTCCTCTTTTTTTTTTTTTTTTTTTTTGTTTAAACAAGTAGGCTCCATGCCTAGCATGGAGCCCAGTGCAGGACTTGAACTCACAACCCTGAGATCAAGACCTGAGCTGAGATCAAGAGTTACATGCTTAACCAACTGAACCACCCAAGTGCCCCAGTTTTCCTTTCTTCTAATGCTCTTATTAAGTGTTACCTTATTAAGGTTTCAAAAAAATGGATTAAGGAATCTTTTCTCTTTTTTCTGTTTTCAGGTAGAATTTGTGTAAGATTGGCATTCTTTCTTCCATAAATGTGCAGTACAATTTGCTGGATTTAGATCTAGAGTTTTCTCTGTGGGAAGTTTTTTAATTCTAGGTTTAATTTCTTTCATTGTCATGTAACACTTCAGATTTTCTGTTTCTTCTTATGTCAGTTTATTAAGTAGTACATATTTAGTGTTCTTTTACATTTGTTGTCATTTGAAAAGATATTATCTTTTAAATTTCTTTAATATCTGTAGTGATACCACCATTCTTACTCCTGATGTTAATCATTTGTATCTTCCCTCTTTTTTCTTGATCAGTCTCATCAGGAACTTACTAATCTTATTAGTTATTTTAATGAATCCTCTGTGTCTTTGTTTATCCTTTCTAAGTGCATATTTTTTCCTATCTCCCTGAAGTCTGCTCCTCTCCTATGTTTTTTGGAGTTACTATGCTGTTTATTTTTAACTTCCTTTTTTTATTATTATTTTTTTATTATGTTAATCACCATACATTACATCATTAGTTTTGGATGTAATGTTCCACGATTCAGTGTTTGCATTTAACACCCAGTGCTCCGCGCAGAACATGCCCTCTTTAATATCCATCACCAGGCTAACCAATCCTCCCACCCCCCTCCCCTCTGGAACCCTCAGTTCGTTTTTCAGAGTCTGTAGTCTCTCATGGTTTGTCTCCCCCTCCGATTTCCCCCCTTCATTCTTCCCCTCCTGCTATCTTCTTTTTTTTTTTTTAACATATAATGTATTATTTGCTTCAGAGGTACAGATTTGTGATTCAACAGTCTTGCACAATTCACAGCGCTCACCATAGCACATACCCTCCCCAATGTCTGTCACCCAGCCACCCCATCCCTCCCACCCCCCACCACTCCAGCAACCCTCAGTTTGTTTCCTGAGATTAAGAATTCCTCATATCAGTGAGGTCATATGATACATGTCTTTCTCTGATTGACTTATTTCGCTCATCATAATACCCTCCAGTTCCATCCACGTCGTTGCAAATGGCAAGATTTCATTCCTTTTGATGGCTGCATAATATTCCATTGTGTGTGTGTGTGTGTGTGTGTGTGTGTGTGTGTGTGTGTGTGTGT